GTTGTTTCCTTGAAATTTCATACGTTTTGCGTTCTTTTCGTTTCGTCCATCATACAGAACTGAATATTTTTAGAATTCCCTGCGTATTTCGCTGGCCAAAGGAATGTGGATTCAATGCTTTTTATACACTCCGCCAAAGGATTAGGAGTATATTCATTTCATCGTAATGTTTGCAACGCCCAGAAGGAAACTTCAGAGACCGCACAAAGTATATATATATATATATATATTTACTTGATCAGCATCAAATTCTGAATCGATTTAAGTAAATAAAACTATCATCTTGAAGTTTTGGTAGAAACATTGGAAATCCTTGCAGTCAAGTTGCCATTGAAAATGGGCCAATCGGTGGAAGTGGACGCCTATAGCAAAACGCTCATTACTCATAAACTACGGCAAATAAATCTGCAAAAATTTGAACGTATATTCTATGAGGGATGCTGTAGTGCTTGCGCAAGTATTGAAAAGATTCACCGCAACAAACAGAAGCTAGATTAAAGAAACCCCATAGAGTACATGAATCAGCATTAAAATCTGAATTGATTGAAGCATGTTCGTCGGTCGAACTGTGCAGTGTCTATGGTAAATATTCTTCCGTTTGCAAAGAAGAAGATAGCGCCTACAAGCTGGCAAAAAAAAATTCGAAAGTAACCCAAACCAGTCAAAAGACACGCCTGCAATGTTCACGCACCAATTCGACAAAGACTGAGAACACCTTCGTTTTCCATGTTTTATGCTTGCTAGACATAAAGTACCCACACATACACCATATAAATTTTCCATATTTATTCTGAGAATAAAAGAAATCAGCCGCGCCCACCCCAATCTTAAAGAGTATGAAAATGTTGTTCTTTTCCTTTTTATTAGTTTTCCCCTTTGGGATAGCGGCGATGGGCATAAAAGATTGGATTATGACCGAATGTAAATTTCATATTTCATTTTTAGACTGATATCGTGCGCTGGGGTCTTGAATGATTATAAAAATAGACAAGAGAATGACGACATATACACAAATATGTATACACACATATATATGTGCATATATGGTTTTTATGCCACCTATTATATAAGCTATTATAGTTGTATTCTTGTACTCTTCTATCTATCTTTTATCTCAGAGAGTTCAGAAGCAAACTGGCATAGACATGAGATTGATTGAGTTGGTGGCATCTTCGATATTTTCCGATTCTGTTAATTTTTTTCTTTTTCTTTCTCTTTCTCTTTTTCTTTTCATGTTTCTCTTTTATCTGAATTTAATTAATTACCATCAATTTGCATAACAACTATTTCATTAACTTTATGTGCAGAGGAATGCGTTTTTAAAAGCAATCGAATAATAAATTAATTAAGCACAATAAATATGAGAAAAAATTTCATAAATATTGAAATTTATATTTTGTTAAATGTGAGCGAAACTAAACCCATATATATTATACGAAACATATATCGAGTATATATATATATATATATATATATATGGATTGATATTGAAATGGCGACATTGTCTTAAACACGGATACTGAAAAAGCTGGTAAGACAAGAATCAAATAATGGCAGATATGCCTTCCTGCAAATCATGTTTTAAAGTGCACGAATATTTGTGAAATGACTGTCGATTCGAAATTAAAGCAACACTTATGTAATAGCAGTTGTTGCTGTTATACATATCTCCGTTACCCGCATAAGGGTTTTGCTTAGCGATGTAATTAACGTTGATTAAATGGAAATTAAAAAAACCGATGAAAAAAAAGCACACAATCAAAACAGGCTTCGTCATCTAGTTACATATATGTATATATAATTCAATCTTTTGATATATCTATGCAAATAAGCTGGATCTAAAGTATTCTTAGCTGTAATTGGGTCAACCAAACGAAACGATTATTGAGCTGAACAACGGATGCAAGATAATAGAAGTAATGATGTTGTGATGTCTTAATCTGAGAAATTTTGCAATCCCATGAATGGCACTAAGCTGACACTGAACTGGAATGATGATTGATGATTTCAATCGATGATTTAGTTTTTTTGCGCGAGCATGGCTATCATATCTTATGACGACGCACAAAAAAGGCGGGCTTCGTAACGAATTCATATTCTACCTGAAATGTCAGAAAACTAATGAAGCCAACTATGGGCAATACGTACTTTATGATAAACTTATTTACATCCCTAGATTAAGATTAATCGATCATATGATAATAGCACTCACACAGGTTAAGAATTGCGGCTAGTAACACAATGCTTGCGGGCTTAAACCTCTAGTCTCTCGGTAGAGTTGTCGATGCTGGCGTACTTGATTTAACTTACGCGGTGTCTTTAAATCCATATTTTGTTAATTTATATACACACAATATATATATATATATATAGATAATATTCACTGCATTTACGAGTTACTTACGTTTACAATGCAAATTGGTTTTGGCAATGAAACCGCTTTAGTGTTCGTTTCTATTTTTACATTTGAAAGTTCAAGCGATTTTAGTTTTGTTGTATTTCGAAAAATATACGTTTCTGACATGAATTCTGTTTTTTATTTCGTACACTATTTTTGCTAAGGGCATACTGTGCGAACTTTGAACGGACTTAGGAGAGATCCACCTTTGTAATATCGATTGCTTTAGAATTATTTCCTGTATCGATTTAAGTTTGTCCTCTCTCTCTCTGCCCGTCTAATATCTGTTTACGGATATTTTGTGATCAATTTATAAAACGGTACGCTGACGTATTTTGGTTCAGAATCCACTTCATTAACAGTGGATATAGTCGAGTATTTTGTCCTATAAAATCTTATTTTGAAGAAAGTCCTTATATGAAAGAAAATGGAATTTTCAAAAATTTTCGACGTCGATCGCTAAATAATAGTACTTATCTATATTAAATTATGCATGTGAAACACTTCGAAGCCCGCCCTTCCCCACCCCCACCCCCCCTTCATATATTCGTTTTTCATAAAAATTAAGCCTAAGATGAAAAAAATAAAAGCTATAGCAAATTTAATAGGTATACGTATTGACATATCCGACATAGATGTACGTTTTTCGATCTTCCTCCCAGACAAGCGTTCTCATGAGACGTCAGCCCTTCTATGCCAACAGAAACTAATTTGTACCATTTTTATGACGAAAATGGCTGAAAAATAATACGATACAACTTATGTAAGCTGAGATTAGGTCTCCCCATTTGCCCCTCCTATTTACCATTTTCGGGATTTTATCACGAAACTAAATAAAGGATTGTGTTAGTTGGAACCGCGCAAGGCGTATAAAAATAATGTTTTTACTTGTTTTTTCCCTTTAGAGGAAAACATGTCTGCCAACAGGCCAAACAAACAAAAAAAAAAAAAAAGAAGAAAAAAAAAAAAATACGCGAAAACAGCTTTCAATGCATTTTAGTATAGAAGAAAAATGCCCAAAATGATCGAAATGAATGAATGATTGAAGTTTTGAACAAAAAAAATAAATAAATAAATAACAGAAGAAGAACGAATAACAGTTTATATAGCCAGGCGAACGTTCACATACTGAAAACCGAAAGACAAATAGTCGAACTTGATCGACTGTAACTTTTGCATTTTTAGTTTCTTCTCGCTATGCTGCATATAAAGTACATTCAGTAAACGACCTTCAGAAAATATTCGTTCGTTAATAAAATGAAATAAAATGTTTATATTGCATATATAAGACGAATCTTTTATACCCTTCGGCACGGATGTAGTAGCGTAGCGGTCTTTCGGACAATGTGTTCGCTAATGCAAAGGATATCCTCCTCAAAATCCAGGAGATTATTTTTGAATAGATTTCATTCAATAAAAATTCATCTCAATAGTGTAATGCCCTTCGTACTTGAGAGTGGACATTTTGGATTTTTCAGTCTTTTTCAGCTTTTAATTTCAATGTGATCATCTCGCCTAAATTATTTGAAGTGATGAGAGTAGAAAACGTTTAGTATACACTAGCTGCAGATGATCGGATTATACATGCGTATCACATCTGCCCTTTAATCATCGGTGAAATCAAGAAGAGATAGATTGTAAAATTGTCGTGAAAGACATATATTATTTGTCTGGTCAACGCGTCAAAAGCATTCTCTCGAGCTTGTGTTTCGATGACGTTACTCGTCATTTTTCCTAATCGGTCTTGCGTCAGTAACTTAATTAGCCACATTTTCCTACCGTCTTTAAAGCGCGGAGTATTTCAATTCCTTTTAAGACGTTTACGACAATTCCTGTTAAAATTCGTGTAATAGTATATTGTATAACACATCCAAATCTTACTTCTTCAATAATATATGTTCCATGTGAAATCTGAAATCGCCATCTTATTCTATATTATTTGTGCGACTGACTATTACAAAGCGGTTACTAAAAGGAAAATTAGAATACTCTAAAATTGATCTTTTTCATTCGTTCTCTAACGATCCGGGAAATGTGTGTGTGTGTGTGTGTGTGTGTGTGTGTGTGTTTTTTTTATCTAGTTTGCCAAGGGTGTAAGTATTTTGTATTCGTCTAAGAACTGAACTGAACTGAATTTATTGGATTGGAACGTTCGTTGAAGATGTTCTTTCCTTGGATCCATTCGTTTGGGCGATGGTTTTGTAAAATAGTTAGAAACATGTTTCTTGACACTTGCAAAAGGCCGTAAACCACAGTTGATTATTGCTGACATTCGCAATACTAGAAAAGTTAAAGCGAACGGAAAATTGTTGGCATAATTCTATTAAAATTGAAAGCGATTTGCAAGCAGATGGACGAGTTCGTATGTACGATAGTGAATTCATCTTAAGACAAAATTGATTTATTTAGACATGAAGGTACACTAAAAAACTTGTATTTTATTAAATAAAAATTTAAAAATATGAATTCATAAAAAATATATACAACAAAGACAAGATATATATGTGTATATATATGTAGGGGTATATATATATATATATATTCATTATATATTGAAAAGTTAAATTTTATAATTAAATGCTGGTTGAATTTTTTCACTTACCGGAAACATTTTACCGGTTTCTAGTTGTGCCGACAAATTGCTTTTGCCACTGCTGTTGCCACTGTTCCCGTTGTATTTTTGTTGTTGTTTTTTTTCTTGGTTTTTTTTTTATATCCAAAAGTCGCAAGCACCGCGCACTAATAAAGCTACATTCAGGTTCACTGTTTTCTTTTTTCAACTCTGCACTCTAGTTTTGCTTAAAATTAATTGAATTGATTCCAAATAATTGTCAGAGAAAAATGCGATTCTTTTTTAAATCGATTATAATGGTATTTGCAAATTTTCTCTATAACGTAATATATAAATTGAAATAAACAGGAAAACAATAAGCCATGAAATCCGTTCGTGATTTTAAGATACGATCTAGCAACATTTTTTTGCTTTTTTTCTTTTTTAGCTTTTCGTAAGGAAGATAGATGTATTTGCCTTACGATCATCAATGCATTGCATAACAAATCATCTAATACATATAGTATATATTGCATGGGTTGTATGCCTGACATCGAAATCGATGGGATTATATTCGTTTTGTCATGCATATTACAATATCCAGAGAATAATTTAAAAGCTTTACAAGAAATCCCGCGAAAAGACAACAAAAATCGGTTGGTAAAACAGGCGCTCCAAGTTAGTGTCCAATTTCGTTTTCTATACCCTACACCACTTGTGATACAAGGATATATTACGTTTGTGCGGATGTACGCCACAACCCAGACAGATTTCAGATAGACCCATTTTACAGTGCACCGAACTTATCTGTCCGTCTGTCCGTCTTGTTTTCTTCTGTTCAATAATTTACAATTTACGGGACTGCCATATTTTGGTCTAAGGATATGCGCTATTGAAAATATTTCGAATCGGCCCAAAGTTTCGGCCTCTTCCCGTGTAATGCTTTATTTTGAAAAGTTGTGTCCGCGCCTGCTCTCAAAAACCTAATCTCTAGACAACCAATATTGACAATTCTTCCAATGACTAACTTTTTGTCTATCTTTTTCTTCAGCAATTACAAAAAGTTTAAGGTTCCACGTTTAACGGTCTTGTGACTGATGTGACGAAAAGAAACAAATAAGCCAATTATAACTTCGTAGCGGGTTACCGCATTCAAAATTGTTTTGCCTATAAATTTATTTAGATGATGTGAAGATTACAAGTTCATATTCAGATATATAGAAGGAGATGAATATTATATAATAAAAAACTTCTATAGAAAAAAACAAAAAAAAAGAAAAAAAAAAAAACGAATAAATCAATAGATAATTAATCCAACCAATCAATCAATATATTCAGTGTAGATAAGGATTTTTGTGTGCATATAGTGAAAAAAAAAAAAAAAAAAAAATTGTTTTTGAGATTTTTAATCTTTAAAATATGAGGAGGAGAAAACCAAATTGAATGCACTCATATTACAATTATTTTTATTCTGCATACCAAACTAGTTTAGTTAGTTCACTTCGTCTTAATGTAAATTTTACAATATGATCTCAAATTGCATTTATTTATGCAATTCAAACAATTATTTGTCGTTATTTATCGTTTAAGAAGAAGAAGAAGAAGAAGAGAAAGAAGCAGAAATCATTTGTATACATAAAATTGCATCTTGGTATATGCAACATGTATTGTGTGTGTGTGTGTGTGTGTGTGTGTGTGTGTGTGTGTGTGTGTGTGTGT